CCTCCTTGTCCGACAACTGCACCTACCTCTATTTGGCTCATTGAAAAAGTTGTCCTTCAACTGATGTCTAAACACTTATCTCGGGCAAACAGTTCTCACTTTGACCTACGAAACACATGGCCATCCTAATAGTTTCTGTTCTTGGCATTTAGATCGACTGCCAGGTAGATAAATCTTCCATCTGGAGGTTTGCGGAGATCTATCAATTGGTTTCAGGTTGGAATTCATCGTGGACTGACATCAGTTGGAGGAACATTGTAAACCTGGAAGCAGTGGACAGCTGTTTCGCCCTGACAGACATTGGACATATGGGCCATTGGATTCCGACCCAGTGGCTCAATGCCAATGTGCTATCCACGAAACCCGGAGGTCCTGGGTGCTCGCTGCAGGGGAGTCCTATACTAGGACGAGACAGCTCTCTAGCGCCTCACGGTTCCCAGTATCCCTCCATCTGATGTCAGTCCATAATGAATTCCAACCTGAAATTAATCTTCATTGATGCAAATATGTGATTACTTCTTTTAACCTAATGTTTTCATAGCAAATAAAATTCCGCATCATGAAAAATCGGCAGACTTAAATCACAGTATTTCCTTTTAACAACAACATTCAAGGGTGTCAAACCAAGTCCTATGAAAAAGAAGCAACAAAGATTGACAGGAAAGCAATATAAACAGCTTCTACTGACATAAAATGTTGTTTTGGAGATATTCTTTGTAGCCTGAAATCAGGAAATGACATATTAAATAAGCTTTGAGAAAAACCAATAAACTAAATCCACCGTGATAAAGAGGAGTCAAATCAAGCAGAAAACTAACTACTGCTCACTGTAATGAACAAAACAGCAGCATGACTGGTATCGGAATTCCAGGAAGCAGGCCGATCAATAAAATGCAAACTTGGAGGGAGATATCACTAGAGATAGGAAGTGAGCCACATTTGTGGGCCAATCATCAAATAGAAAATTCTCATGGATATACGCCTTCAAGGCGGCTGGAGCAAAAACACTAAACAAGCTACTCTAGGCATACAGCTTAATAGAAGTGCAACCATCGTGAGTCAAGCCAATTCGAGGTTAAAAGTTTACGAGGTAACAAGTGTGTCAATGAAGTGAACGAAATATAGTAGATAGAAAGGTCATTAGTTACCTCTATTATCCTGTCACTCAACGTGAAGTGCACTTACAAACTTACTCATAACGAACATGGGGACCTAAAAACCTACTTAGCTGAGTTGCTGCCTATCTCAATGTTACGAAGCAATTCGTCTAGGCGCTGGTGATCTGTGAGATCACTTTTCTTCAGAAGTGCATAGGGACCACTTACTTCAGGTTTAAATATATGCACTGCAACGTGCTTGTTTAATTCCCATGATAATGAATGTATGACAACAAGAAATCGAGAATGTGGATCTGCGACTCCCTGTTCTCGGAAATCTGCCTCGGCATACAGAAACCATGTTTCTGCACTGTCTGGCCAGTATGGTAAGAGCAGAATGATATTCGTCGTCTGTTTAACACGGATAAGCTTAGGAGTATGGTCGGACATAAAAAGGAGTTATTATGGTTATATAAAGGTTATCAAAATGAATAGGATGTACAAGTATTAAAATGGAACAGGCTCACCAATTTAAGAATTGTCCTTGTGCAAACTTGACAGACTCAGAGGCCAATCACTAATTGTTTGTACTTGTAATATACCCACGAATACGAGACCAAGAAAGAACACGACAGCGTAGTCAAATGGAATAGTATATTTGCGAGATCGTGCCAAAAAACCGATGCATTCCAACCAGCTGGCTAGAGAGTCGATTATGAGCAGTTAAACGTAAGACGACAGCGCCCCAAATGGCATGGATGCTTGGTCGTGTGCCTTCAGCTTACCGAGTCCGATGAAACTATGAAGGTCAGCATCAGTGTTGAATCTCGTCGAACCCTAGGCAATTGATTCTGGAGAAGTATGTGGCGCCAAATGCACTCACTCACAAACTTACTCATAACGAACATAGGATCTTAAACACCTACTTAGGCTTGATTTGAGAAAATCTCCAAGCAGGACGTAAAACACGAAGATCTTCATATATTATTGACTATATTGATCATGACAGCAGTGGCTCGAAAGTCACTTTTATATCATTTACATACTACATCTTTCACGTATAGGCATAATGGGTCATTTCTGCGATGACATTTCAATACGTGTAAGACTCACAACATATTTATAAAATAAGTCAACTACTTATCAAATTGTAGACGAATACCAGCTTAAAAACTTGGAATGCCTGCTTTCAGAAAATACCACTTTGCACTCGAGCAGGTCACAGTTGGAGTTCAGTTCACTGATGAAATGAATTTGTCTGGATGAATTGTAATAAGCACAAACAACTAACAAAGTGCTCGATTTGAAAATCGTCGCTAAGATGGCGAACTGCAGTTTGTTTGGAAAAACTTTTTTTTTACTGAGGTGTAGCGAGAGCTACTTAAAAGGATGCATGTAAGTAGTAAGTATAGCATTGTCGAAAGTGAGTGATAATGACAGACTGGTGGGGATTCAGCCAAAGGAATACACAATATTGGATAGAAATAAAAAGGTTAAGAGCAGTGCTGGCTGTGATGTAGAAAACAAGAGCCGTATGTAGGATTCATTATTTTCATCATCGGTTGTATTTTCTCAAAACACAACTATACTTCGTTTCAGAATAGACGTACTTAAGATATCACAATAAATTGCTTAGGTACCAGAGTAACAGGTCTCAATAGCCAGTCAGATATAGTCTTAATTTTCATCTCATGAATGTGGTCTAGCAGTACAATTGTAAGAATAAATATGAAACATGTTAAGGCTCCGTAGACTGAGTGTTTTATGACAACGAAATTTATGGAAATGAATTGATCATTGGAAGCATCAATGGAAAGTGTTACATCCTTCGGAGGCGACAGGAGTGCAATCGTTTCTCAGAAATCGACTAGAAGTAAGGTCGCATGATTGTGAAATTGAATGAAAGAGAGTAGGGTGTTTCAGTAGGTAAGGTGGATGGGCAAAATATCTGTTGTATACCCCATGTAACTTTATTCAAATTTCTTGAAGAATACTGCATGTACCAATATCACGTTAATATTGAAACTAATTTTGTTTATATACATTAGAAAGGGAACAACTTAATTAATTATATCTTTTCGAATCCTGAGGCGCTTGTCTTTTGGTTTACCTGTCGTTGTCATTTGTCCGATTGGCGCGTGTCGGTTAGGATAAGGCCTGTAACACTCTGGTCAAGTAGAGGTGATATCCACTTGTGTTATCCGATCCACTATGGAACTAAAACCGTTGCGCACACAGTAACCGCAACAATGGTCACTGACAAAATATCCTCCAAATTGATGGAATTGACATTTTGAACACATATGGGTTATTTTGAGGAATTACCCGATGACACTGAAATAAACTCGTTAGAAATGAGCCGAATGTGTGACTTGTATATCTGTTAATTAACACAGAGTTCCTCTGAAAAGTCATCATGTATTAGATGCCAATCTAAAAACTACAGAATTGTATTATGCGGTTGATGCATAGTAAGCGAATGTGATTCTTCTTGGAATTCAACTTGAAGATTTTGTTGTTAGTTAGTTTATAGAAGTTAATGTCATCACATTCAGCTCGGTTACTGATGTATGTGCATATTAAATTGGCTTAAAAGATAGTTAGCACTGAATCACCCACACAACTAAGCTATTCAAACAATCAACAATAATAAGTAAAAGTAGGTGAAGGACTGCTCTAAGTTTTTCAATAAACCAAGGATATCTTTTAAGAGACGATAAGAAGCGAGTAAGTGAGACTTAGTAAAAGTACTAACATGACTCGGGTAACTTCGCAAAATCGAAGAAAACTATTCCTAAGTCAATCCAAAGTGATTATTTAGTCATAAATTGAAAGTTTTGGTGTCATTGTTATAAAACAACCTAGTAATCAGTTTAAGAATATTGCAAACAACAGTTAAATGTTCACATTGTCACACTTGACACCTTTTTATTCTTTTCCTATCTCGAACTAAAAGCGCTAATGGTCAGTATGAACCAATGAATTCGACCTGCACTGTTAAAAAGTAAGTCCCACCAACATTGACATAAAGCCATAAGTACCCAACGTTGACCTGAACACCAGTCTAGCCCAAAAGATTCAGCTTACACATAGTGCATGAATATCCCATCCAACTTAAGCATTAGAACACAAGTTCATTCATGCTAAATATCAAATTCATTTCGTTCAAAAATGTAACTAAATTAAATTTGGGGAATCACACCAAGGACAACCTTCATTTCAAGTTGGCGGAGTATTCGTCTCATATTTCAGATCACAAGGGTATGATTGGCAAATTTTCTATCTGATTTATATCGTTGGCATCTAACTGCTTATGCTGTCAAACGTAAGAATACCTCTAATATAGCGCATATTAAAGTATGCAGTCATGACTGGATAGTCCCCGAAAAAATTCCTGCAGGTAGCAGAGTTAGCTGGTGGAAAAGACAACCAATTCTGAAAAATACTATCTCTGCACCTAACCAGAACGAGAATTGCTAAACTGTTGCTCTTTGCTCTGTGGATGAATAAAACAGAACAAGATATTTTTTCGTCTGCATGAATCTTTTGTCCATAAAGTAATGTATAAAAATAAATCAGTTGGAAGAAATAAACTAGGTTTGTTCAAAAAATACTATGAAAGTCAAAAAAAGAAAGGCAAAATACGAAGCAAAGTGGAATAAGGTATAAAGTCAGGAGTTGGAAGCCTTTTCCAAACACTGTTGCATAGAAAAGATCTGGAAGTCACAACTTTTATGAGACGCTGTGGGGAAGGATGACTGAAGTATGCACCCAAAGTAATCATATCTTTTGATTTTAGAAAAAGCGATCATGATAATAAGTATGATAAGGGATTACAAGAAGCATGATAATTCAGATAAAGTTGATTCCGATACACAATCAAATGTGATGTTTTCTGATTTCTTAGACTCTCGAAAGTTGCTCTAGAACTGAGGGATATAATATATCAGCAGCATTCAAACCCCATACAAAATCCAAATGATTGTAGAGTGGGAAATAGTGTACAGATGAAACAGTATAGTTAATCTGATTGATAAGTTTGTAGATGTCTTTAGTTGAGGCAAGCCAATCATGACCACCATGATAAATTACAATGGGCACTTTTAGTTTGGAAATATCGTACAATGGTGGATTGGGTTGACCATATACTTCCAAATTCTTTTCAGTTCCATAGTCATACTTTTGGAAGCGGTCCGTCATTATACCCTAGAAACAAAAAATTGCAATTAGAAATTCATCCGAAACTATCTGCAGTATATCACTCGAAAATGACAGCAAGTAGTAAGTGTCCAAGCTTTAAGATAAAATCAGTAACACATTCCAATCAATTCCAATGTACATAAATCAGCCTACGGATGCTGAACTCTGTGGTACTGCTGTTGTCACTGCTCACTAAAGTATATCAACCCGGAATTGTATCTTATTGATAAGTTGACTGACAGGAAAAAACAACTGAATTCATTTAATGGTCAGAGGATGATCTTGCAACATAGCTTTGGTTTCCCTGTTAATCACTAGGATAACAAACTCCACATCTTCGTGTAATAACTACGATTACTAAGAGAATATAAGATTAATAGCCCAATGAAGCTAGTTGGCAAGAAATCACATGCGATGAAGAAAAACAAAGTATAACTATAAATGAAAGGAAGAAGGATGGGAAGACAAATATGTGAGAAGAGCTTGGGGATAACTCGAAAATTTGTTCCCGCTACGGTTTGCAAAATAAAAATCATTTTCGCAACTTACTTGACAATAATGTACCATATTTTGAACCGATGTTCCAGCTGGTGTATGCGCAACGTAGATCGGCAGACGTGTCTATTGTTGAAAGGAAATAACCATAGGAAAAGCTGTAAGAAAGAGTAGCATCTACAAAGTTCCAACCACCACTTATGTGATATCTACCAATCAAGATTACAGATTATCATTCCTCTACAAAGTACTCATTTAAATAAAAAAGAAAGATATTTTCATCACAGAACCTTACAAGTCCGAAACAGAAATTAAATCTGTTTGTTTATGTATGTATAAGTTGGAAGTGATAAGACAATTCGATTCGCAAAGTCCGTAAGTTTCTCACTCATTTAAAAGCAATCGAAATTTTGGATTAGCTGTTTCTAATAGCTTACTATCACAATCGTAGCAAAACACAATCGTCCGTAAACACCATAAATTCGGATTATTTTGTCCTAATGGACGCAACATAAAGGTCTTTATTATGCGGTTCGCAACATGATTTATCTACATTACCTTCAAAGCTTTGTGCTTAAATCACTTGCTTTAAATAGTATCACATCATCCAAACTTTCCATATGAACTAAAAATGTATCATTGTAGGGGACTGGATATGTTACTAATACGTAACACTTAACTAGCTCTACTTAACTCGATGTACTCTAGCATTTGGTTAATCAGTACTTAACATGTAAGTACTGATAACGAAACACAAATCAAAACACTGTTATTTAGGAATAAGCTCGAAAGAAGAATATATTTACATAGAGTAAGTGTGAAAGTGACTATTAGGAAAAATTCTATCCGATTTATCTGGCTATTATGGCTGAGCCAAAGACTCTGAGGACGTGCGTGCTAACTAGCATAAAGGGTGCGCAAAATAGCGTCGAAGCCTGTTCAGATGCATACTCGTTAAAACAAAACTTAAAACATGTTAAGCATCTGGAGGTGAGCTAGAAGTTTATTTGATTAATTCAACTTAGCTTATTTATTTTGGCCCCAGTTGCATTTTGATGCCAGGAAGGTGCACTACATCATCTTGAGGTTAAATGTTTCAGTTGGTATTTATGTGACATTCACTTTTCAATGTTTTCTTTTCAGTGCTAAAGGCTTGCATTGTTTCCTGGATGAAGAAGAGCTGTTGACACTGTTATGAAACCAGAACTCTGCTCTAGGAATATATCGGAAATCTAGGAAGTTTAACATACTTATTCATTTCGTAAAGAATGATAAAGTCCGATGGTTTTTGTACCATGAAAAAATGCATAAAACCCCAGCATAACTGACTTCATGGATGGTTAACATGTTATACGGTAAGCACGTTAAAGTCCCTTTTCCCTACTCTCCTCAACTTACTTTACAATCCTAGGATTAAATATAACCCGAACATTCACCAGTCTTACGATATGACATCAGTACCTATAAAATCCACATACTTTCACACTGTAATCTTTCAGCAATGAAATACCACTGCTGAATGACTGAATGGAATACAAATTGTATTGTCTTTGACCTTTGGTGCAGTGGTAGACAGTCTCTTCGAGATAACTTCAGTGTTAACCTTTATATATTCAAACAGCTAAACGTGTAAGTACAACTACTTACTTACAATTGGTGGTTAGGCAACTGACGGATAAGCAAAGATCAGTCGAACTACTTCCTGAAATGCTCTCTTTCTATCCTCTTGGCTGCTTGCTATAGGATAGCAGTACTAACCCATGAATCCCAACTATACTCCAGCTAGATGCCAGTGGTATTCTATCACTTGCTCCGATATGTCTTAATAATACCAAATATCAGCCAGTGACAATCCCTTCTTGATATTCCTATTGATGCGTCCTATTGCGTAGACGATTGATCAATATTTTGATTATTTATTCAATCGCCAAACAAAACTTAACTCATCGGTTTTCTACACTGCCAATGACGGCTGTCCGTTGATTCTAACAAGACACCAGATACGTCATAAACTTCAAGCAGGCAGGTTAAATACCATGTTCGTAATATGCATGTATTAGTTGCCCACCATTTATGCTAATGAGATAGCAGAAGCAATTTAAACTGAGTGAGTGAATACTCTGGAAAAAGTAGCAGTTAGTGACAATCTATATTCGATGATAGCAAGAACTTAGTTGAATGAAATGTCGATACGAGGACAGTTGAAACTGGACTAAAATAAGTGGTGATCCGGGAAAAACCACGACGAGCATTCAGGATTCGAAGTCGTTATTTTGGGTTCACCAAGAAGTAAACTTCCAACATGATCAACGATAAACGTGCCACATGTTGTTACTCAATAACACTGCGAAGGTGAAGAAAGTTGGAAAGGAACCGTGGAAGTGATCAGTGAAAGAAAAATAGTCATATGTCATGCCTTCAGAAGGCTTTTATCACTTCTCAGTTGCATTCCAGTAGGAGACAAAACAAAACCACATAGCTATCACCACCTGCTTTGGTACTGATTAATGCATGAAAACACCTTAAGTATTGCTCTCTGACCGAAAAGTGGATACTTCGAACTGCAGTGTTATTTCAAAAGCCAACGTCTCTCCATTTCTTCCAGCCTGTCTGTTAGGGATGTCTACCTCCTTTATATTCCACAATTACAGTTTTTGTATATTTGAAGTTTTTTCGCGCGCTTTTTCCAGCATATGGATCACATTCGATATAACCCACCGGCGTTCTCTTTGGCTCCTGCCTCTTTAAATGTGCTAATCATTCCTTGCCCTTCAAGGTTAATGTAAACTCTATAAATAGGATCCATTTCATTAATAACCATTTTCAGTTCGAGATACTGTAAACTCAATTGATTGCCGGTCTTTTGACTTCCCTTTGCAAATCACTCGGGTTGAACCGTCTCAACTCTCGACTATCAATCGTTAATTATTATCGTTCGCTTTCATAACACCCCATTGTAACACTGTCCCTGAGTTGTTGGATTTGACGTATACGCCATTCAACCGGCATACTTACATCATTGTTGTAAGATAGCCTACAACAAATTTTGCAGTAAGTTCAAGTAACTACCACTGAAGCGGTGTGCGTTTGTTGTCGTGAAAACAACCACCACTAGGAACCCTGTGGGTTAACCTCACCTTGGAAAAGTAGTAACCTAAAGAGATAAAATAGAACAGCGGAGACAAGGCTGCACTGGCCTGATTTTCACCACCTAAAGAACACAAATTTAGACGTGTTACTATCTCGCACAGCAACAGAGTTGACGAAACCTCAAAACGAAACAATACACAAATCTATAAAAACCAAGTAATCCAAAGTTATCATTTGGAAAAGTCAGCTGCTTTTTTTGCCCCCAAAAACTACCTAAGAATCATCAATTAAGTAATATTGATATCTTATATCCGTTCTAACCGGCAGTTGAAAAAATAGGGTTTTCAGTGTTATGAATAACTCAGAATTACAACAAGGTCTTCTTCTAATTCAAAGGAAGGTCTGTTAACCAACCTATCGAGATGATGTGAAAACACAATCATTCAACACTGCTTATTATGATATCATACTTCCCATTTACAGTTAAAAAAAATATAGGCCTCATACTCAAGACCCAACATCTTACTAATATTAGAATGAGATAATAGAGTCACATAAACGTTGTGTTCACACTTAAATCAGTACTTAACCTGCTAGGAGCGAAATGATTTATTTCAACTTAACCAGCATTTCGCATTCATATGTTTTTCGTGTTAAAATTTACAGTTAGGGTTGAATCCTGGGTTGAAGTGTTCTGTGCACCTTTTATTGCTCAGTAGTAGGTCAAAACTGAGTGCGATAAATACCGGCATACTGCAACAAATATATCATTCACTCAGATATTTACGTGTTCCAATCATCGCAATGCCCAGGATGTCTTAAAGGAGATCAATCGTGGCACGAATCGCTCAGTGGTAACGTCTCCAACTGCGGCGCTAGGTGACGTGAGTTTGAGTCCCAGGCTGAAAATCAGTTCCTTCCAGGTTGTAGATACGCCTTACTGACGAATGCCAAAAAACAAAGCCCAGATGCAGGGCTTCCTGCTGATTGCCTCCATCAAAGCAACATCTATCACAATGTATCACGATGGTGGATAAGTCTCCTAATAAGTGGCCATACTGAAAATTAATCGATAGAAGCCAATAAGCACTCAGGACTAGACAAAATGTAGTTGATAACTCTAAGCCGACTAATCATTGTGTGCTACCCTTTTATTTGACACTTTCATGAAATTTCGAAGCAAAAAGCTTGTTCATCTTCGCTTGGTTTCATTTCGTTTTAGATAAGAAATAGTGAATCATGTCAAACGGTCGAAAGTGGCTTCCGTTTGTTTCATTGTCTCATCGTTAAAGTCCATGACAGGCGCATATTAAATAACTAAATTCAGTGACTGAGGAAACCAATAACAATGATAACTCTTTGTAATAAGGAAGCTATTGCGGATTATGTTGAACGATTATAGGTAGATGCAAACTTTTTTACTCTTTTCCCCGCATTCTTTCTACAGATTACGAGCCCATCCGATTCAATGGCAATTTGAAAGCCCGTCATGCTGGTGTCTTCTATTTTTGACTACATTGTCTTCTACAGGAGTAAAGGCATATCATGTGTGTATTTATAGTATTACTTCTCCCGATGCCTCTAGATTACTCCACAATTTAATGACAAAATTCGTGTGCAGGTTTTAGCGAATGGATACACACTGTCTGCTTTAGCTCACATCAAAAAGTCACTTCGTATCATTAATTTTGTGAAGTAATAACTAGTGATTCAAAATACGGAACTCAGGAGTTTGTATCAGCTTTCTGATGACAATTGTAATTACAGCCTATTTCCTCCTAGTTAAAGTGTCCTGTAACTGGTGGTTACGGTAAATGAAACTATGTAGTGTTCGGTTTCTTCAACCAAGAAAGAGGAGCGGGAGTAAGATATTACTTGGAGTGTCAAAATCTATACAAAGGAACAGAAATGTGCAGAAAAAATTGATCGTAGAAAGCTCTCTGTTGAAAAATCAGCAGTAAGAAAGATGTACTTTAATGTTGAAATAATTTTGTTTTCTTTCTATACAGCAAGTCCAGACAATAATGATAACAAAT